AAAATACTAAAATAGAGATCTATCGACAAAGACTACTCACTTCTGCCTAGCTTAATAGTATGAGATTGCCGCAGCTGATTCTCTATTGTTATTTCAGTTTCCGTTTTTAAAAGCGCTATGTGTTGAGCCACCTCAGCTAGTTTTGGCATGTGACATTTATAGCGGCAATCATTGGTCGATTTTCTAGCGTTGCCATTCGGGGAGTTGTAATGAGGCTTTTTTTTGCCGCCGTGTAAGAGAAATATATATATATAGATAAAATCCTACGAAATTTCGGTATTTCATATTATATTTCTGCTTTTTTCCAAAACTTTAAGTATATGGATCAAACATTTCCTGCCAAATTGTTTTTGACTTGTTTCAAAAAATTCATTTTTGTTGAGAAACGGAGGAGACTGTTTTGGGGATATTTGGGTCCTAAAACTGAGACTACACAAAATACTTTGAAACAAACCAAATTAGGCCATTAATCGCATAATGCATGCATCAAGAGAGGAAAGTTTTTTGTTTTTCAAACAGTATTAAATGAACTTATTATTTATTTAAATGGGAAAATCAAAATGTATTTATTCTTATTTTACGGTGTGCGGTATCGGTTCTCGGTGCGGTGCGGTGCGGTACTGTTCTACCGTAAATGGCTCGACTTGGCGCGCAGGTCGTCGGGCTGCCAAAGTAGGGGAGCCATCCCCCCTGCAGAGGATCAAAATTGCGGTGGTATGTCTTCAGTTCATCCTCAGGGTTGTTTCCCAGACCGTCGGCAATAGCCCGTTGTGCAACTCCTAGTGCGACGTAAATAAAGCACCGACCTATCTTATTTTAAACTCAAATTTTTCTTTTAATTCGAATGCGAAGGTTGCAATGCATACAGACTAAATATTTTGACGATACAATTTTAAAAATTTACAAAAACAGATACTTGGGCTACGAAAATTAGAAACATTAATAAATAATTCCTTCGCGTAGGATAAATTAGGCAGCCCTAAATTGCTGATTTAAACTTCTTGGCAATTTTGATCCAAAACCAATAAAAACTATATTTAAAAGCCGTGGATTACTTTTATTCGCAGATGGACCGATACCCATCGTTGCGAGACGAAGTGGTGTACCAAATCAAAACTTCCATTGACAAGGAAGCGGAGAACTGTAAGGAAAGACTTCTGTCCCACATAGATGCCAGCATGTTCTTCATTAACTACAACCATCCTGATTTTGACAGCACTGTGTAAGTACATTCTTATTTCATACCAACTTTATCAACAACAAAAAATAAGTTCATTACAAAAACCTGGCATGTGTGTGACTTATGAGAAACAAAATAATAGTATTAAAAATACCACATCTAAACAAAGTGCAAAAGTCGTAGCGACTTCCAGCATTACTGTTTTTTATTGATCTCGAAAAACAACGAAAAGGACAAAGAATATTTTATGAAAGAAAATTATAATTATATAGTCATTTTTTAGAACAACGGTTCCCAATTGAGCCCATGAGCGTTGGGCCAATGTCCAAAAGGTCTAGAGTTCGACCCCGCCGGCTGAAGACTCCCAGTACAGTCAGGGATTGGTTTTTGTAAAATTGTGAAAAAATGACTCGTAATTTGTGAATATAAAATATACGCTAAGTCACATTCTTTTAACCAGGGTCGGCTTTTGTGAATTTGGGCAAATAGGGTCCGTTATTGCAAAAAAAACTTTTTCAATGAGTTTTTAAATTGTAAAGACATACAAGATTATGCTCAACACTGTAAAATTATAATTTAAAAAATTAAATTTTAAAAAATAAACAGCAATTGCAGCTACTAAATTAGCGATGCAACATATAAATATTTGGTATTTAGCCTGTACTGCTGAACACAGAATATTTGTCCTTCTTCCCCCCTCCCTTCCTGGGAAGGGTTTATTCGATTAACAAAACAATAATGAAGATAAACAAATTTGTGAAGGGTCCGATTAAAAGATAAATTATTTTGTGAAATGTCCGTTTTTAAGTTGAAATATTTTGTGAAGGGTCCGTTTTTATAAAAGATATTTTGTGAAGGGTCCGTTACGGATCCAAATTTCTTCTAAACAGACCCCTGGCGGTAAATGTTGACTGGTGCGCGTTAAATCAATGGGGTCATAAAGTCCTCCAGTTCCCAATCTGTAACTCAGGGGGTACCGAATTAGAGATTGATCATTCTCTGATTCAGGTCAAAATTGCGATCTGTGGATGTATGAATAGATCCGTCCTTTAAAAACGGGCTGTGACGTGCGAATGTGGCTGAAGTCGTATTCTTGTTCATAGATGGCGCCACTGAAATACAAGACCTTCTGCAAGACCTACACCTTCTGCCTTAAATTTGCTTGATTTCACCAAGTAGGCTTGCTGATATTAGCAAGTGGTATTAAAAACAACAGAGAAAAAATTCTAACTTTCGGAACCCTCTAAATCTTCCATGGCACCCTGCGATTCCACGGAACACAATCGAAAAACCGCTGATCTGGTATAGAAAGTGTACCTAGATTTTCTTTTTCGTCCTATTTGTAGAATTGGTAAAAATAAAAATAAAAGCAAACGCATTTTGGGTCGCAAAACAATACTAAAGCATAGAAAAATGAATGCTATCTGACATAATCAATATCGAGGAACGAAGACAAAAACATAAAGTTCTTTTAAAATGTCGGTTCAAACTAGTTGTTTTCAATTATCGCCTGTAAACTTACGTTTCCTCGCATAATTAAACAGGTCTTGTTGTTTTTAATCCTGCTTTTTGCAATGGTGATTCGTTAAATTCAAATAGCGTTTTCATTTTTTCCCCTTATTTAAATGTTAGTTTGCGACGCCCTAATATGCACATTTTTTATCCTCATCTTTACGTAAATATTAAGAGAGGTAATTACAGAATACCCTATGTTTTTATATCTAAATAAATTTGTGTTTATATCTAGTTGTGATCCTGTGGCTCCCCCTGCTGGTCCAGTCAAACTTTGGGAGAACTTAGGAGCAGCTGAAGAAGAAACTGTGACAGTTGAGATCACAGAAGGTGTTGCAACTGGCTCCACTATGCCTTCCACGGAAACTTTAGTGGTACTAATTAGTTTGTATTGTTAAAAACTAAGTTAAAACTTTTCGCTTAACAGTTAAGAGATATCTGTTATAAAAAAATTTAAATATTTATTATGTTTCTAAAGAAAAGCTTACCTTGTAAGCTCACCTCAAAAACAAAACAAAAGCTAAATTAGAAAAAAAAACAAAGGCTAAATTAAATCTATTTTTAACTAGAATTCTATATAAGATTCAAAATAATGCAAACGATATGATAATGCTAAATAATAATAACATTTTAAATAAGCAAACGATAGTTTTCTGATGCAATATTTTACAGTTAAGTTCTCTTTTTCTCCTTTCAACTATGTTAAGAATATTGCTCATGTATGATATATATGTATATATCCATGTATAATAATATATGGAGTTCTACGCTTTTTGTGGTATTTTTTTAAACAGTAGAAAAGTACCAATTTCAAGCAAAATAGAAAATTTTTTACCAGCAATCGTATATTATTTTGCAATATTTATATATATAACAATATTTTTGATTTATTTATTAAATCTCATCGTTGATCTCTACATTAGTTTACTACGATTAGAAAAGGAATAGAAAATTTCGTCTTACCAGAACCTCTTAGGGTTTCCAACGAAGCACTTTTCTACATGAGTATCTCGACAAAAAGTAGCGTTTTTTTTTTACTAAGAGAAATTTGCATTTTTTGAAATAGATATAAATCTGAATACTGGAGGTTTGGTGATAATGGTGGATGGGGTAAAATATCCTAATTGAGCTCTAACAACTTTTGTCAAATAAACACTCCTCTTTTATATATCACTGTTTCTGGATTATTTTTATTTTTTTTGTTCACTTGCTGTATTTTAGTCTGGAACAAATCTTTGAAAGCTGTCTTTTAGAATATGTACTCATGTCAATTGTTTTTACTCATTCTGATATTTTTGATACTGTTCAAACACTATTTACCAAAAATCGATTGAAGCTTTCGGCTCGCAATGTAATAAAATGTCTAAATCTCTTTTTATCGTTTGGTAAAATATAAATTCTAGAGTATCAGTACTGATAATTAAGAAAAAACAGTTTCTGTGAAAATACGCTTGCCGATTACGGAAAAAGACCACTACCAATTGGCGAACTTTTAGTGGTCTTTTTTTTCCTGTGAAAAAGAGGAAGTATTATTAAATTATTTCTGTCAAATAAAAATTCTTAAATGTTTCAAGCATATTTCTTATTGTAATGATGAAAGTTTCACACTTCCATTAAATATAAATACTAAGTAAACCAGAGATGGGCATTTGTCATTCAGAATAATGAATAAAGAATGATGAATAATTATTCAAAATCTGAATAATGAATGATGAATAAAGATTTATTCATTAGTCAGAAATATTTTGAATAAAGAATAAATCATTCATTATTCCTTATTCAGTATCCTTTATTCATTAGTCAAGAATAACTGAATAATTTCACTGGTCAACAAAAATGGGCACGGAATACTCTAATTGACTACGATTATGACAACTACAAATAAAACGTTAATCCTTTTCAAGTATATTTATATAATGTTTGAGAAAATTTACTTTTGTCTAACATAATGCATACTTTTGAGAAATGGTTACATGGCAAAAAAGCGTTTAATTTTTTAAGTTAAAATTTTATTTAAAAATTTAAAATAATATTATCGTTTGCTTTCAAAAACTATAAAAAATTGCGTTTTATAGATTTTAGAACAAAATTTCAAAATGAACTTAAGTAACTAAACTGTTATAAACCTACTTTTTAGCACAACTAAGTATGTTACGCTGGAGTAAGTTAAAATAACATAAAAATAAATAGTCATACTTGTCTTAGTTTTATAGTTTAAGTCCTAAAATAAGACGTTTAAGAGCAAACGATGGTTTGCATCTCGTTATAGACAAAGACATATCGATTGCATTTTTTGCTGGTTATTCAAAATTTTATTCAAAAAAATTAGTCATGACTAATGAGTTTATTCATCAATCATTATTCAAAAATTTTTATACATTTGCATAATGAATGATGAATAATGACTAAATTTTCATATGAATAATCATTCAGAATAAATTTATTCTGAATAAATTTAGTCATGAATAAAATTTTCGTGAATGATGCCCAGCGCTGAAGTAAACCTACATTTTGTTTTTATTTTTCCTTTGAAATAGGCTGGCTTGAAAGCTAATGAAAGTAATCAAAAGAACGTTCACTATGCTTCTACATTGTTGATGAAAAATCTTGAACCCGTACAGAAGCAAATGGGAGACGTTGCTATGAAATACATAATCTTCTTTTTAGTGAAAAAGGTAAGTGTAGTAATAAAATAGTACAGAACCCGTTATCCGGAAATCAGAAAACCAAAAAACCGTAACGAAATTCGATAAATTTTCTTGCCATTTTTTAAAAAAAAATTTTTTTTCCTCATAAGATTTTACGATTTTTCTTTCTTTTTTTTAAAGATGTTTACCTTACCATCATTTTGGAAATAATCATTAGTGTATTACTTCATCGTTTTTTCTTATTTTTAAGATTATTTCCAATTATTATTTTTTTAGCTGAGTTTAACAATAAAAAAATAAAAAAGGCTTTTTGTAGCGATTCAGAAAACTGGAAAAATCAGTTATCCGGAATAGCGATGGTCCCGACCGTTCCGGATATTCGGTTCCCTACTGTAGTACATTGTGTATTGAAAAATTATTAGTTAAAAAGAAATTACCCAAAATTGCTTTTTTTTTTTTAATACCTTGCTACTCTTGGCATTCTAAGCTCGATTTTTTTTAAATAAATGTTTTGAGGCGTATTATTCTGTGTTATATTTTAATGCATTTAGGTTATTTCATTGTTTTTTAGGTATTGGATTTCATTAAAAAAGATCTATTGGCTACACTCTTAGAATCTTCTAATTTCGTAAGTATTCATAATTAAACTGTATTTTAAAACAACATGCAGGGTGCATTTAATCTCCACGCTTAATATCTATTTTAGTTTTGTAATTACAACCTTTATATAAATTTTCAGAAACCTGGTCCAAATTGAACAAAAACGTACAGTATATACATACTACAGGGTGTTCCAAAATTCTCTTTACAACTTCAAAAATTCATAACTTCGAAAATAAACAAGATATTTATATTCTGTCTTTTGCATGTATTACTGCGACTAATAAAGTTTTGTTTAGTACACTTCAACATGCGCATCATTGGTGGCCCTAAGCACTTCCAGTCTGTAATCAATTTCAAGCCAGGTGATGTAAAGATAATTTTGGAACACCCTGTATATATATATCAGTGGTTATCAGCTCCGGCCCACTAAGCCTTTTTTGTGACCCTCGGAGTTAAATTAAATATATTAGTTGTCGTTTTTTTGCGATCAATTTTCGTAAAAGGTCTTTATGGGTTTAAAATACTTTTCTTTCGTTAAAAAAAAAAACCTAATTTCTTCGTTTCTGTGAAGTTTAACATACCAACGGTGCAAATTGCACCCAAGAAAATATTTATTCAAATACATAATAATCGTATATGTTGCTCTTTTTTATTTCGTTTTTTTTTTTTTTTTTTTTTTTTTTTTTTTTTTTTTTTTTTTTTTTTTTTTNCAGAAATTTTCTCGAAGAAATTCTACCATTAAATTTTTTGAAACCACTCATCTTGGACGAAATTATTTACATTTGTAAATTTTAAAACGCATAAAGAAGGGAATGAATGTCATGGTTTATTTAAATTCCTTGAATTGAATATCGCATGAGCGAAAAAGAAAAAAAATTTAATTTCAGATGGTCCAGAATTTTTTTTTTTTTATTGCTATAGTTCCTAATAAGTCAAAAAAAATGTTAATTTATCACAGAATTAAATTTAAAAGAAGAAAAAATCTTGTCACTACCTTTTTGATTAAGAGAAGATTCAAAATGATACGTAACAAGCATTATTTGTAATGCTTGTTATTTTGCTTTTTAATATAAAAAAAACTTTTATAAAAATCTGACAGTAATATTTAATGTTCCTTCAAACATAAAAGAGTCCTATATTTAAATTTCTTGTTTCCTTTCCCCCTACCTACTACAACGCTTCGCTCGAAATCGCGAAACTGTTTACTATTTGTTTCGAAAAGTGTACTTAAGAGGACGCTATACAGCAAGAGAAACCCTATATGGTGAATTCTCTTTCCTCTACATTAGTAATTCAAAATATTGACTTAATGCTTGTAACTTACATTAAACCATGATTTTTCAAATGCTGAAATAAAATTTTTAAAATAGCACCATAATGTAAGCAAATTATTATAGGATTATGCTGTGGTAAAGTTATCCTATTAAATTTGGCAAACCTACAACTTTTCTTTTGATATTTTAAAAACATTTTTCCAGAGTTCGAAACTTTGTGGTTTACTTTTAAGTTTATCTGAACTCACATTTCTATAAATTTTAAAATAAAAATGGCTGTGGAAACTGAATTTGCAATGAAATGTTCCTCCCGCGGTGCAGCGTCTTTTTAACAGCTTCCCAGGAGGTTGCGATTTTCCAATCCAACAACGTTTAACGACCGACCTTTATATTTGGCAACAACCAACTACAACCAAGAGAAAAAATATCCAAAAAAAGAGAACAGTCGTTAAAGGTCACTGGATTGTAAATTAGTCACCTGATCGATCTTTTCTTTTATTGTTTGAGTATTGAAAACTCTTAGCTATTTTTACTGTGGTATTAACATTTAGTCTAGCGTCGTATTATTTGATATCACAATTGAATTTTTAATTTCAGAGTAATCTGACTGAAGATTGTGAAGCTGATTTCCGCTGGAAGGAAGAAACTGAAACTACCTGCAGAATATTGCAAGAAGCACTCGTTGCTATACAAGACTTTTAAACTAGTTCCCCCTCCCCTCCCGGGGATATTTAATCACTTAAATCATTCTTCTGCGTGTGTTTATAGTTCTAATTCTTATCAAAGATACCATTTATAAATTTTTTCATATGCCCTGTGTGCCTATTTTGTATTTTTGTACTTAAATGTTTGTGTGCTTTTGTAAAATAGCAATAAAGTGTCATAACTGTTTATCTTTGACTGCTACTCAAAAATAATCAAAGTTCAACTTACAGGGTTGGCAAGATTTAAATCATGATTATATTCGCGATTTTAATCACTAGATTTTTTTTTGGAAAAAAATTTATTTAAATTAAGGGCGATTTTTTTAAGATAAAACATTAATTTAAAACAATTGATTTTTTTTAAAATAAACCATAAGGTCGAAAATAGTTTTATAAATATATTCTTTAGGGGGGGATCTTTATTAGAGACTGGTTTTATTGATAATGAAGGTTTTATACAAAGAAATAATGAAAAAGTGAATTAAAAATTTAAAATGGATCTATATATATATAT